CCACCCTATTAAAAAAAAAAAAAAAGAAAAAAGAAAAAGGGGGAGGAGGAGAGAGGGAGGGGTAAAAAAAAAAAAAAAAAGAGAAAAGAAAAAGGGGGAGGAAGAGAGAGGGAGAGAGAGAGAGAGAGAGAGGAAAAAAACCCACCCTGGGCCTGCACATTGCAGCTTACCGCCATCTTGATGTCCTTGATGCGTGCCGATGGCATGGAGGCGGCTGGCACCAGATCAGCCCAAGAGAAGGAATGAGAGGCCAATGGAGATTTATGTGAGGAGAGTGAGATGGACAAGGTAAAATTGTCAGGAGGAGTTGTTAGAAAGTAAAATATATTGTGACAATTCCACTCCTGCCGTTCATCAATAAACTGACAGATCATTTAGTGTCAATTAGGAGTGATAGATGGACAAGTCCCCATGATCCTGGGCCAAAATTAATGGCTGGGAGGGAGAGGGTGATTGAAAATGACGGCTGACATTGAGAGGAAAGTCCTGAAGGTCCCCAAGGGGCCATTACTTGCCTCATTCCCTTGCAGATCAATGCAGGGACAAACCCAAAAACAGACACTTCAAGACAAAACTTAATCAGACTTCCTTTTCTTTTCTTCTCCTTCTAAGTTGTGCCCCCTCACTTGGCAGCCTTGATCCTTTGTGCCTATACTCTTCACATCACTGAGGACACCCTCAGATGGCTGCAAGGTGCAGAGCAAGGCTGCCGCCTTCCCCACAGCCACAAGCCTGGCTCCGCTCCTAACACGGCAGTGTCACAGGGAAGCCCAGCCTGAGATTTACCAGAGACACTCATGAGCATTTTACTACTCCCACTTGCAAGACAGGGACGACTAGAGGTTCTGTAAACTGGGCACTCTCAGGGGTCATTTCGTATAGATACAACACGGGATAGTTTAAGCCCATATTTTTGAAACAGGAGGTTTTTAACTTTACTTACCTCTGGAGACCTTGAATCATAAAACCCCTTAATCTCTTAAATAACTTTCCTCCAGCTCCAGGGTGCAATCTCACCACTGCCCACCTTTCAGAGCCCTACAGGATATCTACACAGAGGCTGGGTTACCCTGCTCTAAAGGTCACTCCAACTGCATCCCCTTCCCTCCTACAGGCCCTTAATATTCGTCTTCTTGTTAAACGTGCTCCTGGGCACCATACCACCACTTCTGTTCCAAAATACTTCAGCATGGTCGTTTTCCTAAAGAAGCTTTGATTATTCCAACTCTGTATGACCTATCAGTCAGAAAGAAGAAATTTCAGTTGTAGCTGGAGCACCTGTTGCTAAACTGCCACAATCCCTATAGAAGAAAGGAGCTACATGCACGGGTGCTGGAAGGGACTTCCTACAGAGAGCAGAACTTGCGTTTGCTTGCAGGGCCACCTGAAACGAGCTCCGTGTGTTCCACAATAACCCTAGCTGCTGCCTGCAGAACTGTGTGAATTTTAAGGGGCTGACTGCAAGGGATCAAAGACCCACGTAAATGGGAAGTGTCCTGAGAAACAAAGAAATAAAGATACTAATACGGAGAAAAATCAAATAAATTCTATAAGGAAAGTCAGATAGATGAGATCAGCAGAAGCTGGAATTAAATGGATTCTGGAAGTACCTCTCCTCTGTCAAATCCTCACCAGTATGCTAAACTGAGTTCCCTTTTCCCATTGGTAGGCACTTTGTGTTTCTTCCTTCTGATGTATGAGATAACCTGACAATAAACCTCTGCTTTGCTTGTCACAAGTGTCAACACTGATGTCATTAAGGACATCAGCATGGTGTTCAGAATAGCACTTGGGCTCCATCCAGTGGTTAGAGAGCTGCTTCTGTAGCAAAACCAACTGTAATTACTATTATTTATGTAATCTCAGCAGGATACTAGGCCCCAGTTGGCTGCCTAGGTTCTTGGCTGGTCCCCTTTCCTCTAATACTGTGGCTAGAATATTGCTCGGGCAGCAATGGGACTGCCTCTTCTCATAGCAAGTGATTCTTCTCTCGGAGTACAAATTTAAATAAATACAAAAGATTCAGGTGCAGAGGACCATATCAGTATGGAAAAAAGATTCTTCTGTCACTACTTTGCACCATTTATTTGCTGATTGCAGAGGACCAGTCTGAGGGTTTGCTCAGACACTTACCTGCAGTCCTCATCATTATCCAGATTTACAAAATGGGACTCCTAGCAATGACAGCTGTTCTACAGAGGTAATGGGAGTCCAAAGTAATCCTTCCGTGCTGCACACCATCTGTGTGAATTAATTTCAAAACTAATTACAGGTTGGAAAACGTCAAGGGCCCTCCTCCTCTTCTTACCTTGCAACAGCCTGAAACAGCAGTAGTCCGACGGAAAGAATCCACAAGATGGTGACAATGTTTGCAAGTTTACCTAGGTACGACAAGAGCTGGGCACATAAGGGACTAAGAGGGAGCAGGCACAGGTAGGAAAACAGAAAAACAGGTTGCAAACTAAATTCTACTCTAACATGTGTCAAATGGACACACAAAGAACAATTTCAAATGATCATTTCACACTGATAAGACTCTGAACTAGCAGAAAATAGTTTAAGTATCTCCGCAGGAAAAGCAACAAGTGTGGAGCTGCAACTGGCTGCATCTGTCAGGAAGAGAACTAAAAGCTTAGACCTCAAATAGGGAGAGAATAATACATAATGAGTTACAAGATCATCTCACAAGTGGCTGCAGTATCCCATCTGACCCACAATATATTTACACAACACAGAACATCTAACTGTAGCCACTCTGCTCATCCTTCCTTTCTAAGTAAAAAAAAAAAAAATCACACATTTTACCACTGTCAATTCTGAAAACCAAATTACTTAAAGCAGTACAATTCCCAAGTGTAGGCTCAGTTACACTGACATAAAAGTGCTTATACCTACATCAGATATATCATCAGAAGCATGTTATTGTAACTACATCCACACTAGTGAAATTGGAGCAAGTTAACTTGATGGGCTTCCAAACTGAGTCAAATTGGTTGAAAAGCTGTGGGGAGATAAAGCCTGAGAAAACAGAAACAACAAAGCTACAGCAACATTGCTATGACATCAGCCGATGACTCAGACTTTTCACATGAAGGCTTTACTCTGGGATATGTCACGAAGACAGCCTTACAGGCCAGCATCTCAGACTTTTTTTAAGGGAGGGATCAGCCTGAGGAGAATATACAGCTGAAGGGAAGAAAAGACAGGGGAACTAGTTGTACAAAATCCTTCTATCTCATATGAATAAAGCAAGTCAGAACAAACCTCCCCTTCACAAAATTTATTCAGTAAAAGCTCTTAATACAAATGAAAAGAATACTGTCAGATATGACATGATATTTTATGCGTGACTGAGAAAGGGTCACATCTTCATCTCATGTCCCACTGTGCAGGAGCTCAAAGGTAGAAAGGTCTGCAACCCTCCATCTCCTGTTGTGCTTCTTCAGCTGAATTGCATCCAACCTCACAGGAGCATTTACTCCAGACACCTACTATATCTATAAGCCATGCAGTTGGGATGCTGGAGAAGCACCACCGATAGCTACTGCTCCAAATCTATCAGATGAGGCTAATGTCAAACAACAGAAAACATCCTAAAGTAGCACATGGCATAGTGCTGTTAGATTAGGAACCTGTACGCTGTCCTTCAGGGCACATCAGGCACAGCTCTGAATAACTGTATTACCTCAGATTCAGTCCTTCACCTAGCCAATAATTACATAATTTATTTTTTCTAAACAATGCAATTCACTCTTATTCTCTGCTGTCACTTTTCCATGAAGCTTCTGCTTGGTCCTACAAAGATCCAGGATCATTGGTGACATATTTTCATAACCCTGAGGTGGAGGCATCTTTGCAACAAAAACTTCTAGCTGCAGCCAGCCTATGAAAAATAGTACCATTACCAGAGTTAAATTGGAGAGGAAGAGAAGGAGTTCAGGCTGAGATCTTTACTCCTTTGCTTTCCTCCAGTCTCTAGATTTTCAGCTGATTTATTCTTCAGAGACAAACAGAGTGATAATTTTCCCAGAAAAGTACTGCTTTCCAGAAAGGCTACCCCAGAATATAGACCACTTTTCTCACCCCCCCCAGAAGTACTGACTGTCTAACAGGTTTCTGGACGTCCTCTCCCATTCTCAGGGTTCCAGCAAAGAAAACACACAACTTTTCCATAAATCAGAGTGCCTCCTAAGTATATGTGCAGACATATACTCTTATTACAAGCCTTAATATATACAAGCAACCTCACACCACTCCATGACTGAGCCCTTCAGCTCTGCAAATAGGAAATATAACACTAGCGTAACTTTACAGCTTGAAAAATAACAAATAGCTTGAAACCAAGTCATCTCCTCCCAGTCTCAACTGTCCTTTAGTTTTCACACTCATTCTGTCACTATGTCCAGATATTTCCTTTGCCTTAGGTGTCCTTCACAAGTATCAGGCTTCGCAATCTACACTCTAAAATTTGTATACTTTTCTCCTCCCATCTCTTCTCGCTGACCATCTCCATCCATCTCCATTATACCATAGTCCCATACACACATAAACATTGACAAATTTCACCTTTACTGTCAAGGCTGATCACTAAATCCTGAACTGTTCATTGCATTCTTGTCAGTGGGGCACTGTCATGTGTCACTCTCCTGGAAAGGACGCAACCAGTCAAATCGCCCCTTCCCAGCTCCTGCATTTAACATGCTTATTACGTTCTTGACTCCTTCCAGTTACCACACCAGGTAAGGAATACACGGCCTCTGGCAGACAGAGACACGTACACAGTCCTGAGCCTCGCCAGGTCATATAAAGAGCATTAGACAGTGGAACCAAGCAAGAGCAATACTTCAAATGGTCTGAAGGAGTCACGATACTGGAGACACAGGCCATCTACAAGATCCAGAAAAACTGTTCCAATGCCTGTGACAGCAAAGCCCAACTAGCGATGTTCACTTCACCCATGCCTAAGCCCCTCTTAACAAGGAAAAGTGGTGAGGACTCACTTGGTAGATGCCAGTACAGGATCATCTGCCCAGCCTCCTTGCCGGCGTGGGGGTTTAGGTGGTGGACCCTTTAAGAAAGAGAAGAGACACATTACAGCCAGCTCCAGTCAAGGCAAAGTCAAGCCAACTGAGACACCAGGTCCACACATACTAATGCAAAACTTTACCAAATAATAGATGGAGAGACAGTGTTTACAATGCTGTTTATTTATAAAATAAAAGGAGAACAAATATTGCAGGAAAAGTTTTTATTTATCTCTGTAGGCAAAAGATGTATCACTCTAACCAGTATCTTGACAAGTTTCAGGTCTGGGTGTCTTTGACTTGTCCAGGACACACAGTGCAGTAGCAAACTGATCCACAGGGGATGCGCTCTCCTGGCAAGGCATGTTTCACTGGGAACTCATTAAGCACCCCTACCCACACTTCCGTGGGAGGTATCACATGCTACACATTTCCTAGGGTACAAGTCAGCATGTTTTAGACATCTTGGTTTAGATGAGGAATTATTCCTAAAAAGCATCTGCTTTTGTCCACTGCCTAGAATAGGTTAGATGCCAAGTTCCTACACAGCCAGCCATACCAAACACCTCTAAAGTTAGTTGAGATGAATCCCACCATTGCCACCACTGAAATGCTAAAGGGCAAGTTCATCTGGAGCTTAAAGACATTCCCTGTTATTTTCTTGCATTGTCTTGTGTGGCAGTCTGCTGTGTGGCAAGAGAAAACAGGAATTAATCTTGGGGCTTACGATGGGAATTTTCAAAGATCAGGGCAATGAATTCCCACCGTGTGAGAGCTGCCTGTTGCCTTCTGCAGTTTTGGGCTCAGTTCTCCCTTCCTGAAGCACCTCACACAGCAGCACCTTCAGTGTTTTGCATGACAGACAGTGGTGAAAGCAGAGGGGCAAGGTGAACCCAGTGGATGAATTTCAGTTTATATGGTTCCCAACTAATGGTGCCCAGTGACGGAAGATGGGTTACTGGAACCTGTGAAGGGACCATCATGAGAAAGCATGACTGGGTAAAAGATGTACCAGAACAGGGAAAAATGGTAACTGCAAAGGAGCCTAAGCTGGTGCAATGGTGGGGGGACAGGTGGCTCCCACAGCTTTTATTAAGGAACGAGCTGGGCAACGGTTAAGAACTTTTGACTTGACAGGGGGGACTTTGCATGTGTGGTGGGGTCAACCCTGAGCCAAAGCCAAATTACCTCCTGCCATAGAAGAGGAAGGGGTTGAGCTAACCCCTCATGGTAGGGGTCTCCCCATGTTTATTTCTTGAAGCAGAAGCATTGTTTGTGAGTGTGGGAAATGAAGAGCCCCTGCCAGGGGCAGCCGCTGCCTGCTGCAGGGAGGGGACACGACCCTGCATAGCTCCCCGATAGGAGCAAAAATAGTCATCCTCCTGCAGTCAAAAAATACCAGCTTTCTTCGGCAAAGGGAGCACAGGAGGGCAGAGGGACAGGCAGGGAGCGTGAAATGCAGGAAACAGCCTCCTTATATGGGCTCATCCGCAGGGGACAGAGCTCAGTCGACTGGAATGACCATGTCACAGAATGTGAAGCCTTCAGGGGCCCAAGTCAATGGAGTTTTCTGATCTTTAAATGATTCCCCCAGATTCTTAAGATGCCAAACCAGAGAAGAGGCTACAGTGCCAAAAAAGGAGCATTTTGAATTCAGTTGATCTGGACACACCCAGAGCCCAGGAAAAAGGGGGAAAACACACCACATATGGGCGTGCATGCCCACATAAACATCCCTATTCCCATTACACACACCCCTACCTCAAAAACACACTCCCTCCCACATGGATCCTTCCCATGCAAACAACCCTCCTCCCTCCTCCCCTCATACCATCGCTCTGATGGCCAGCAGGCCATGTTCCTAACGCACAGCCTCACAACTCCTCGCAAAGGTGCACAGAGTTACAGAAATGCCACTGAAGTACCTGGGCCATAGGGCTGAGGGAAACTGCGGCATCTCCAGCGCATTCCAATGCACCTGCAATTTAACTCCCTCATCATCAAAACTAGCCTTCAAAGAAATCTCAAGTGGGGCACTCCAGATCAGAGGGTGATGAGAATGACTGCCCCAGTCTCTGCACAGGGCATGACTCCATGGCATCCAGGGGTTTGATTCCAATGTCTTGCCAATGTTCTAACGTCTTCCCATTGATCATACCCACCAGGCAACCCTGAATGTCTGTCAGCCCCTGACAAACACCTCACATATACCTACAGGTCTTTTATTCCTCTTGCAATAAATCAGGTAATTCTTTTTGAACTGCCTACAGGAGCACTAGCAACAGAAAAGGCAATGTTAACTGTCAGCTGAGGATAAATAGCTTTTCTTTGTTAGTTGCCTGGAAAGTGCCGTAATAAGGTCACATGCCACATGTACTTCTGTCAAGTAAATAAACTTGGCTTCATATACTTTCACATTTCCAAAACCTCAGCACAATCTACAATTGAGAACACAATGTCATGGATTGCCATAATATGGTGACAGGCAGGGATGTTGCGGCTGCAAGCAAGAGCCTGAGACAGAAAGTGGGAAGAACGCCAACCCCAGAGGGAGCACAGCAGGAACAGAGGACCTTGTTCTTCAGTAATGGAGCAAATGTGCTCCTGAACACACCTTTTCAGTGAAAAAGACTAGGGGCTTTAAATGATCAGAATCTGTTCGTACCTATGAGTTATATCTCGGGCAAGATTTTTATGTATGTTCCCAAATGCAAAGGTAAGCTATACACCCAAACGTTTGGTGTTCAAAACCTTGACATTCCACCAGCTCCTAGCAACAGCGTTCTCTCTCAGCTTTTGCTGCTCTATCTCTTTCACAGCATTAACTAATCACTTGCTTGCTGTGGTTTGCTTTTTCACTTAAGTTTTGTCAGTTATTTATCTCCAGAAGATTTCCTCTACCTTAGTTTCTGCAGATCGTCCACTTTTCCAAGGAACATTGCCACGGTCCAGGCTTTTTATCTTATTTTTTCTCAGAAATTCAGTTCACCGTTTTTGTGATGGCACTTTCCCAGTACTTCTCAGGCCACCTTCCTTACCAACACTTTCACACTACCGCCATAATCAGTATTTTATCTCTCCCTTTGAGAAATGGCTGGCCTGAATTCCATCTCTCCTGCATTAAAGTAGAAACATTACCTTCTTCTTTATCTGTAGTCAGGCCCTTTCTTATCAGACAGATGTAGAATTCTAATTTGGCTTCCCCATTAAGGCAGAAATTTCCAGGCTACTTGTCAGATCATGTCTGCAGTTTTGAAGGTGCTAGTTGGATGTTGCTTCCCTCATGGAAGCAACTACCCTGTGTGTCGCTGGATCCTGAGGGTCCAGCAAACTTTCTTTTAGGACCTACCACGACACAGGCAGATTACAGACATGTTGGGTCCCTCAGATTCTCAGGTGGGTCTGGAAATAGGGATTAATTTACCTTCATCAACATAACAACTCCTTTAAAACAGTGAGCACTCTGTGCAGGGAAGCAGGGACTCAAATGACATTGACAGCGTGCAACAGAGGACACACAAATTTTCTGTCACGTAATACATCTCCTAAAATGTGTGGGATCTATGTTCTGCCCAATATACAAACACTGTGAGATTTTATACAGTATGTAGGTGCCTTGTTTTTATCCATTATTGACCACGGAGTAGAAAGAAAGAAGTATGGCCAGTCTCAAGTTTCCTCTTCTCCAGCACATTGCCCAAGGCTCCCCTGAGTGAGGAAAAGCAAATCTCCAGAAACAGGCCTGATGAGTTAGTTTTGACTGCTGCCAATTAAGGAGCTGTAAATCAAATACCTCCACTGCTTCCAAGCGGCCACTTACAATCCATACTGATCTCAGAGTATATATGATATCAAAAAGTGCTCAATTCCCAGATCTATGCAAGCCTCGGCTTTTTGCAAAGAACAACCCATCTCTGCTAGCCCTCTTTATCACGTCCACAGGTGGTTCAACTAGTGCATCTGATTTTAATGAATACCCTCCAAAGAATTCTGCACGTCTTAAATTCCTCGCGGAAAATACTGGATTTCCATTTCATCCACAAACTGTCCTTATTCATGGTCAGTGACCTTCCTTTACTAGTGAAAGTGCTATTGAGACAGAAAAAGTTCTTGCGGGGGGCTTCAAATATTCTCTGTCATCTATCACAGCAGGTAAAGGAGCTGCTCATATTATTGAACAGCTATCAGGAATTTCTTCCCTAAAAAAAGGGTCAGCTATCTAGTCAGCTTACCCATGCACCTGCTAGGAAAGCTGTCATATTGCAGCATTTGGCACCTTAACCTGTCTCAAGAGTCACTGCTGTCCCCTGCATGAAAACGGCGAAGCAGCACACAACAATCGGATTCTCTGAGCAAGGTGTTACCAGGCAGATTCCTCTCACAACCCACAGTTACAGGGCAGTGCCCCTCCAACCCTCCTCGGCACAAACATCTCTCAGTTTGCTACTACCTTGTGCTACATACTGTCAGACGTGTCCCCATCCATCTCCACCACTCCTACAGCTCTTTTGTTGCCTTCAGGTGGGTCCAGCAACACTCTAAGCATGAAATAAATGTGTGGAGAAGAAAAGGAAAAACTTTTAACAAAACTATTTTCGATAGGATTGTCCGTAATCCACATCAAGGTAGCCAAGCAGGGAGGATACTACTAGAAAGGCTGGGAAACATGGCTGACTAGAAACGCTATTTCAGTAGATGTCATCAAAAGGCTAGCAGGTAACCTCAGAAAGCTGAAAATAACTGCCCCAGTGGCCAGCCACTCGGGGTGCACGGGAGAGAGGCAGCGTCAGGCCTTGGGGAGCTCCAGGCCATGCAGTGCCGGGGCTCACACTGGGGAAGTTGGCCTAATTAGGGAACGAAAGTTCAGCTGCATTTTTGAGATTCCTCCTGGAGAATCTGGCCAACTTCCAGCTGAGCAGTCCCCAGGAACAGGCTGGGAGTCCAGCATTTCTACAAGCAACCAGAAGACCACTGGAAAAAAAGAAGCAACCCCTGTAAAACGAAAGCAGGTAAAAGAGCCAGTGGTTCCTTGGACGCTGGTTCC